GTTTTCCACCCAACAATCTCTACAGTACAATATTTAAATGAAAACTTTGAGGAAGTTCACTTCTACTTAAAGGCAAGAATCAGGATTAAATTGATGGGTTGATTCCACTCAAATGTGAAAGTAGGGATGGGAGGTGGACCGCCAGTGGAGAAAAAAAGGAAAGAAAATCCTGAAATACAGGAAATACGAGCATTTTGCTCTATGCTGTGGAGAAGTTCAAAAGACAGGCAGGGAGATGAGAGATAATGTGAGCGCGGAGAGCGGTAGAGAAGTCCGAGAAGAGAGAGCATAGCAGATCAACGCAGCGACGCAGACAAGATATCGACGGTGGGCGGACCATGTTAAGTTTGGTGGAGTCTGTTAGAAGTCCATGGCGCCTAGGGTCCTAGTGACGCGTTTCGATGTAGAAAGGTGGCGCTACCTTTGCACTTGCGTACCCAGCACTTCTAGCCATGGTAAGGGCTTCTTAGGTGGGTCTGAGCCCGAACTTTGCCTTTAAGCGGTCATTTTGAGCAGTATTCAGTGGGTTACGATACAAGGCGCCTTTTACTTACAGCTCATGGGAGGGTGGAGTATGTGGCGCCGCATACCACACGCATAGTTTATAAGTGAAACTTGGGATCGAATCCCAGACAGGTTTACCAGACTTCATAGTCTTCCTGGGTCGGTTGATAGGCAATGACTCACATGAGAGAGTAAAAGCACTAACACATACAGAAGCAGGCTCACTGTGTGCATAGGCTAAGTCGTCCTCAGACAGCACTTCAATTCTGAATGGAAAAGAAAGCGTGGCGAAATCTAGAAAGAGAATGTTCACCGCCAAATGCTCCATTCTTCCCATGTATTCTTTGTTGATCCAAATAAGTTGTTGCGATCACCGCTTATAAATCAGTGGTCAGCCTGCGTGCAACCAGACTCAAGCGCTTGACATGAAGACTTCGCGGGCACACACTCCTGGGTTCTACATAGAATTCTCTAACAAGGAGAGATCCTACGTTGCTATGGACGCTCAAGAAGGGATGTATTCGCATATGTACGTCTTCGAACGCTGATCTCAAATTTACCTTCCAAACCTGCTAAACGATTCTCTGAAGCGGAGTTATGAAGCAAAACAGCGCAACGGTAGTGGTGGGAACTCACAGACAAGATGCAGTGGGAACGATCCCTCATCGTGCTCGATGTTTTTTCTGCACTGGAGCTGAATAGTTGCTAAAGGCCGATTTCACTGTATTACCGGAAGAAAAGGACGAAGAATTGATCAGAGAGCAGGTTTTTCTCACACTCTTGACTGTTGCAGTCTCGACCACTACCGTTCGTGCTTCTTTTGGTTTCACATTTGCGCTCAAAATTGCTTGACAGATTTGGAAGGTAGAATTAAGATCAGCTTTTGAAGGCACACATAGGCATTTACATTCACTTGTTGAATAAGCACGGCGACGTAGGTTCCCTGTCTAGGAGAACTGATTACTAATGGACATACACAAAGTCAAATCAGTTCCACGCCTAGCGTGCATCATAATCCCTGGATGACTGGAAGGCTAGAATGTGCGGTGCATCCGATAGTACATGATACCAGCTCCTTCACTAGTTTAGCCCCTATTTATTACTACCAGCACATATCAGTGACAAACTTCTCGTATGTTGTATACTACTTTTGAAAGAAAACTTTTAAATAACCAGCCGGATCTAAGCTTGCTAGAAAAAAAACTCAGCTTACTGCTTTCCCCAAGAAGTAGTGAGTAGGGCAAAGTAGGGAAGCCCTTTCCCCAATCCACATAATCCTAAAGGTTGGGAAGCATAGGAAAAGCATGGGAAAAAGACCAAAATTTGGATGACCGTGAGCAGAGCACCTCCATTGACACCGACGCTCACTGCAACACTAGCGCAACATTAGTCCCTATCTTAAAAGCGATTGGATTTTTGTAATCTGAGGGACATAACGCTCAATGAGCACGCACCAATGCCTCGCGCCATAGTCAGAGATCCGCTTCGAAGAATAGAATCCTTCACACAATGCATATCTGCTGTTTATTCCTTGAAATCACTACACAACTTTTCAAACCGACTGCTTGCAGAACCATCTACCGTTCACTGGGAACCGCAAACAACAATCAATCCTTGTGGAGAGACCGATCCGTCAGCGCTAATCGAAACTTTGAAGGTTTGTCATCTGATCGGTGCAATTGCACAGACCGACAATTCGATTTCCTCAAGTCATGGTCAGATTATTCCAAAATAGCCAAACAAAGGTCAAGGTCATGCTGGTCGAGGTGATCAATCTCACCGGCTATCAGCATCAATGATTATGACTGGCTGACCGTAACATGGCCAAAATTTTATTGGGAATAGAGCGTTTAAGTTCTCCTTGCAGGACAGCGGTATTTACAATGAGATCTACATGGCGCCCGATATCTTCACCGCCAGTAAGAACTTTCCCGATTTGGGTGGACGGAATTTCATGAAAGCTAAAAGTCGATACCACTGTGATGAGAAGTGTGAAAGGTAAACATCTTCGAGGAAAAACGCTTACGAGGGAATTTTCTCATGTCACTAGCTCTTCCAATCGTTCTACAACAACCAAAGGAATTTGTGTAATAATTTGAACAACAACGGCGCTTTGTTCTCTTCAAGGTTATGCTGAGACCCCCACCAAAGCTGTTATGTATGTCCCTTCAATAGTTTGTCAGTTTCTTCTCAATACCTAGGGCGAAAGAGTGGAGTGTGACCGGAGTGACGAAATTACACAGCAACTGAAATGAGTCTTTTTCTTCAGGCTGATTCTAACCATAAGAGACACGCACCGGATAGAGGGGATACAAAGTGCCGCGAAGAGGGAAAGAAATCAGTCACGAAAGGGCAAGAATGAAGAGCAGAGCGATTTACGCCTATAAAGTCACTTGAGGCAGAATCCTGTCCAACTAATGCTTCAGCGCCTTTTGCCTGATCAATTCTAGCAGCGGGGTATACGGAGTCCTATAACATTCTCGCGCCTGGATGTCCTCTCTTTCGACGACCCCCTGGCTTTACCCTTAACACGCTTCGGACGACAGCGCGCAACGTAGGTGTTTGCGCGCGTTTTGCCCGGCAGCCGCAATGGACAATCTGTGCACACTCAGTTGCCAAGCCCTTTAACGCTTCATCTTTTTTCTGAACGCGTTGAACGCGCCATTTCTTCCCAGGTTTTTTGTGTTCATTTTTTAGGCCATACCACAACATAACCAAGAACCACGCGGCTTATAGAATGACCAAATATTCTTTAGTTTGGCAGAGGTTTTTCGGACCGGACGAAAATATCCGTTCAGTTCATTCCTCATTTTCTCTTCATTAACACGAACATGTAGATAAAAAAGAATATTAGAAGTGAGTACAAAGCTACTCGTGTGGCAAGATGATGTGTTTTTTACCGAAACAACCACGTCCAGAATAATTTTTGCAACCCCTAAAGCAAAAGTGAGTAAAACTTGCCTTTTCAATGCTGTAACACATCATTCGACCGCACTTTCACATGTGTACCTTCCCAATAAGTTTGCACACTGCCGAATATCAGTGAAAACATTTTGTCGCATCAAAGTATTGCGTATTTAAAGCTCAAAATCCACAGATTTGTTGGAGGCGCGGCGGCGCCTCGCAGGAACCGCTCATTGTCACGCGGACAACAAATGCGCAACGCTGGCGATGTGTCAAGCTGTTAAAGGCGAAGATTACGATGACAGTGCGTTATGGCAGCGTGGAAGTACATGCACCATTGAAAGCAGTAGTCAGGGGCCCAAGGAAACGAAATGTTGCGTTTTTGTGGTCAAAGGTGCGCTAGTTGCAGCGTACAAGGCTTGCCATTCCTTTCTGAGCCCCGCCACGGTCTGTGCTCCGCCCCCAGCAGCAGCGCCCTTCGATTGCCAATGTGACGAGATATTCCACTTCCAGAGTGTATCCTATAACTTTTCATGGGATGCGTGATCAATCAAAGCATGATGCTTGCTGAAATGATAGAGGCTATCAGCATAACATGTGCAAACGACCTCCTAATTGGTTGCTAGCTCGTCCATTATCGGAGGTCAACGGGCAAAGAAAGGGGTCCCATTTTGCGCCTTCTTGACGGATTTCTTTGCTTTTTTCGCCACTGGGGCATTATTCAGCATCTCCACTTCCACTATGAACCCAGTCCAAACTTATCGTAATCCCTCGCTTTAAAGAAGACGTAGCGATACAAAAAGCAGCCCATTAAAAGCCTGTACCGGCTGTAAACTAGCTTTTCCCTACCTCGAACTCCACAAGATTCATTTGACGCACCTGCTCGCAAGCCGCTTCGGCTTTCGAAGCCGCGCTCTTCACCTTGTAAATCATGTATCCTGGCATGGCACCCCTCTGCGTCGGCAGCCGATAAAGTTCTTGGCAGATTTGTCGCGCCTGCAATAAAAGAATGCCAATCGCCCCTAAAATGCGGCGAGAGCCCTCCATAGTCCAGAAAATCGCCCAGCCGGTGCATGGAAGACTTCAACCCCAAACATGCCACCTAATGTGTAATTCAACCCACATTTAATTGCGGAAGATTCACGCGCTCGGAACAAAATGGTATGAACACTATCTTAGAGGTGGGTCGCCGAGTAGCTGAGACCAATCCGGCTCCGTTTGAATTTTTCAATATTCTGGCACTATTTTTGTCGCCATCAACATGCAGCATCTCCAATTTAATATCATCTGAAAAAATAGCGCTTTTACATATTTTGCCTTCAAAGGTTTGTCAAGAGTTGAAGGTTTGATTGGCTGTAAATAGCACGCCGCTGCTTCACAATATGCAGCTCTCAAGAGGCGCAGTGTCTACAGAGGTACTGCAATCAATAAAGGACTTATGAGACATAGGGATTCATGCATCAAGGCATCATACCCGTTGCCCTAGGGGAATTTGATAACTTCAGGCAATTCACATACCTTCTGATGCGGCTTAGAGACAGTACGTTACGCGAGCGTGCAGATCATTTTCACGAAGGGTTAGTTTGAACCGATTTGGTGGTGGTGTACTAACAGAAAAATGGGTAGAGCTCTGGTTGTTCCTCATGATTCTATGTGGATTGAAGTTCCAACCGACCGCGTCGCAACCGCATGCGCAAACACCCGCGCAATGCACAGTGCATGGGATGGGTATCTTAACATTCATTCGATCAACGCTGCTAGTTAGTTCTGCTTGCGAAAGATGTGGATACTAACTAGAATAAATCAATAGTTCACATAACCACCAAACCACTCAATCGATTATCACGCAACAAATCAATATTTGTAGATCGTCCAAACTCGTTCGTTTCGTGATGACGGGCGACGATGCACAGGAGCCACCGAAAGAGTCGGAACGGACATGGTGGGATGAAGAGGAATGGAAACGTGAGGAAAGGTACAGCTATGATTTTGTGTAGAAACAGCCAAGGGCAATCCAGGGGCCAATGGTTACGTAGCTGGCCATACACCATTCTGTCGAAATGATGACTTTGCATCGATTAACACCTTCAAGGAATAGCATCAGAAATCAGGACATATAATGACCAGCTACGTATGTCATCGGCGATGTTTGTCAGGGTGCTGGCGAGGAATCGAGATAACGGAGCATCTCGCCTCTTTTGGGAAATCTTCCCAGAAAGGGCAAGGTGTCCGCGAGTGACGTTAAAAGGATCGCCCATGGCCGCTAATAAAGGTAGCCCTCATCCAGGTCAATTTTACCTCCCGACGCTTCAAGGCATGATCGACGCAAGGAACTGGAAAAGACTGTGCGTACTGCGCTTCGAGAACTCGACCGAATGGATCAGGACGAACTCGAAGGGTCCAGCGATCCGCCGGAGCAGGAAGAGTTTGTTTATCCCACATGAAATTCAATGACTATGAAAAATTCAACCAGAGTTTTAGATTCGATCAATTCTTCACCAGCGAACTCCATTCAGAGTCGATTTTCTCCGCCAGGCTAAAACGACGAAGTTCTCCTCTGCCACTAACGACGGAGAACTCAGGAACAGCAAGGGATATTCTCGGTAAGTTCGGCTGAATCTTAGGCCTTCTTCGCTAGCCCCTTTTTCAAGGGAGAATGAGATCTTGTTCAGCGTACAACGATCCGCTGCTTGAATGCCATAACAAACGTAGCGACCTTCAATCTGGGTGGGTTCGTGCATAATTCAGCAGTTTTCCCCGTCGGCTCAGCGCCTAACACAGTCAGATGTTACATCGGGAATCGGTTTTCGGTTGACCGGAAGTGGTCTTTTGAGGGTTGGGCATTTGATCGGTCAATGTTTTGCTAGAATGATAGTTCTTTGGACTCCAGAAAAATCTTCCGAAGACCAAATCAGAACTAGGAAAGCCCTAGGCGGCCGCCCAAAGAGGAAGGACCTTCACGCACTCCGCAGCGAAGGGCATGCACTATCTAATCTAGATTCGCGTCCCAACCCAGACCACTAGCGCCGCGACACGCCCACCCTCTCGCCGTCTGGATCTTTGGCATTTAGCAGGAATAGTGTGTCTTTGAAGAGGGCGCCACCGATGACAGTTGTATCGAAGCGGATCCAAGGGGGACGCAAAAAGGGGCCCATTTTTTCAGGCTCGTGGTAGTTTTGTTGTTGTTTTTTTTTTTATTTCTGCCACTCTTTCACCACTTAGAATCCTGTTCTGGTTTCTAATAGCTATGCTTTTGAACCCTACCTTTAACCCATTCGCGACCGCGCAGGATTGCGCAATAGCAGCAGCGTCAGGAGATTTTTCTTCAATAAAATTCGAGTGGAGGGAGATTTCCTCTGCCCAGGGCTGGCGTAGATGAGCGAGGGTATGAAGATTCTTTTCATGGAAGAAAACTTTCCAAATTCCATTTCAAGCCCTGCAGCCACAGTAATGCCATTGTCCCGAGTGAGAGCTTTGTCAGCCACCGGTGGCTGACATTGTCACGAATGGGTTAAACAAATCGGATAATGTACACCCAGGAAAGAAGGATGTCTTTTCAGTGTGGAGTGGAGTCGCGATCATGTTTGCTTCATGATTATAGAAGACCTTATCAAGCCGTATTGAGCGCGTCTGATAAGCAGCATCATTTACTACGTTATCGAACATGACCAAGCTGATATTTTCACCTCAAAACTAGTCAGTCTTCCACAGGGAGGAGGTTGGACTTGACCCAGACCACAACTATACACTGCTCCGTATAATGAATCATACTTCCGCCTGCAAAATGCCGAAAGACTTGCGTCAAAAATGTTCTCAAAAAATGCTCTGAATTGGAAGGCAAAGTTGCATGTTGAAGGAGCGAATTTTTTCTATTATTTTTTTTCTGGAAAAAAGTGTTTCTTTATGTTTCCCTCCCCCCTCATAGCAATTCTAACACATCTGGAAACACCTATTCTGCAAAATCAAACAAACTTCCACCCCATGATTTTTTCCTGCATTTCATTTTGACTTAACGAAAATTTTTTCCAATTTTTGTCATATTTCCATCCTCAGATGATGGCAAATGAAAACTGCTGTCAGACTTCCGGAAAGGAAAATTTTCAGCTAAAGAAGTGCAAGAATTGTCAAACCGTCGAATCGCCAGGAAGTTAGTCGAAGTCACTTCGTCGGAAATAAGTACTTGTTTCAATGACTTCTAGGACATGTGGGCGTAAGGAGTCCTGAACTGTCCCTTGCTTTCGACGAGTAAGGGCCGTATGGTAAGTGGAAGATGAAATCTAAAGCTGGGAACTGAAGTCCTAAACTTTTCAAAGTAATGTCCTCACAGAAAACCAGTTCAACGTGTCTGTCGCAAAACCTCCACGACGTCCAATGTTCGAAAACTGACAGTAGTGCACCTTCCTGACAAACGGTAGCAAAGATCATGCGAGTAGGTTTAGGCCGTGTTCTCCTGCTCGGGTTTGCGTTACTGTCATTCTTCTCTTTATGATTTCTTTCCTCATAGCAATTCTCCTTTCCAACAACACATCTGAAGTAGAAAACATTGGGAAAAGGCAAGCAGACTTCAAAAAATAACGGAAAAAATCATCATTACTCCAGTCACTTAGCTACGCCCTCCGAGAAAATTGGCCCGCTTATCTCTATGGTTCCTAGTAACAGAAGATGCTCAGCACCCATTTTTGAATATTCAGTCGTCCAAATAGAAGTCTTAGAAATCGCGTCCGTAAGTTGAAAAAGTTATGTTTTGAATAATTTCGAATTCTGCACCTGGCCTGTAGAATCTCACTCTTCTTTCATGTACGGCGCTTTCTCTCAGCCGAAGAGCAAAGGACAGTGTTCAGGATTCTCATGGCATCACCTATCCAGCAGATCCATGATTTTAGCCATATTTGTGGCCGCCAAAATTGACTTCGATCGAATTCCAGCGCGATTAAATAATTCGAACAGCTCTTGTACCTCTCAAGGATTTTCTCATTACAGAAACCTGATAGCGGTTTCATTTTTGCTGTCATCTAAGAAAATGTGATGTAAAATGAAAGTGTGAAAATGTAATTTAATCAAAAAATTAGAGAAAAAGGCAAAATGCAGTTGAAAAACTGGTGGATCTTCATGGTTCGATGGTGCAGAATAGGCATAGCGGGTTTTTCTTCAGAAAATGAATGGAAAAACTTTGCTTTCTCAAGATAACCTTGCGTTGCCATTTAGAATTGTGACTGGATGCATCACAGCTCTTCTGACGAGCTCAGGAAAATTTGCAGGTGAACCATTATGCGAAGTAGTGCATGTGCAGTGGCAGCAAAATTCTTTGCCCTCTCACAATCAGACAGTTGACCATGGTAAAGGCGATTTGCATGTTTGAACTAGCGAGCTGATTATATACTCTTACGATTATCTGTTACCAACGTGACCGTTTTGTCCCGGTACGGCCTAATCGCTGCAGACCATTTGCACACTCTCGAAACACCCAACTCAACTGCCTGGTGCTCCCCAGGAAAACTCGCAGCGGCCAAAGAAGTATAGGAGTGTAAGTTTCCAAGGATTGCCAGTGATAAGCGGCTGACCCGATTGTCCTCAGAATCTTGAAATATGCTCCCAGTGTCCATATCCTGCTTATTCCGCAAGGCTTTGTGTGCTCTACTTTTCTACTTAGGTGGGAAGTACTCCTAAGGTGCTTTGTGCTTCGTTTGTGGGATACTTGCGTTGTAAACCGAGCCTAACATCATACAGTAGTATGACGTTAAGGGTCTTAGCATTCAGGGTACACATACATACCCCTAACGGTAGAATTATCGCGTCTTCTATAATACTTCAACTTTAACTTTCTGCTATCAAGTGGGATTTTTACACTTCATATGCACCTGACCTTGGTTCCAGTCGAAATTTTGAAGACATTGGAAATATTGACTGTGATACCAAACGCCTTCAACCTCAATATGAAGCCAAAATATTTGAACCAGCGATAAAAACTCGGCCAAATTGGATCCGTGGCTGCTTTGACGCAAGGCTCGGGAAATAAACGATCAAAGTAGTACCAATTCCCGCAAGTGCGAATTGCCCAGAGTAGCGAAGCAGGAGGTGGTCCAGTGGCACATGGTGCCACTTACCATGAGACTGGTCCAAGGATCCAATTCTGCCGAGACCTACCAAAGAGACGTCAATCTCGCCAAATGGATATACCAGGTTCACAAGAGAAGATGAAACAGATTCGAACCGATCAACCTCCACTCCCTGAGGAAATTCCCAAAGACATCTAATGTACCCCGAAATCACTACGATTCTGAACAAGGATCAAATATGTGAGATACCGCAGGGCGGCCTCAAAGCACGCAGAGTGCATGATCGCTCATCCTTCCTGAGTAGCTAAGCAATGGGTGGCAACAGTGATACCAAACTCCGTTTCTCAAGTGTTCAGGACAGTTTTGGGAATCTCCTTTATTGGTTTGACCTTAGCCGGAGTCGAACTCTTTCAAATGTGCATTAGCACTCTTTTATACGAGGCAGTGGAAAGTCATTGAATGGGGAGAAAAAAATTGTCCAAGAATGTTGCCTACGATAATTGAACACTGACTGCCTAGAACCAATCAAATTAACAATTAGTATAAAGGAGAACAGCCTTTTAATGGTTCTTCAGCGGGGCACAGAATCATAGCAAACTATGTTTTACGCATGGCTGTTGTTGAAAGTTCAAAATGGTCTCAAAGGGAAATTCCAAACTGGCTAAGTTTGGTAGAATGCCATAAAAGTTTTTTTAAAAAAAAAAAAAAAGTTATTTTGGAAAAGTTTGGTCCACGACCGTGGAAGAGCTCCAATTCTGTGGCTCGAGAGTTGGCAAAACTGTAAGGAGCTTACGACCTACAGCTCCCGCCGCCTCTAGCATGGCTTCCTTCGTCTACTGTCGCGAATGATGTCTACGCTTCGCTTTTCCCCACGTTTTCTCGTCTATGAGCCCAAGGTTTACTTCGTGGTAGCTTTTTCATCGTCCAGAGAAGTTTTTTCTCCTAATTTTTGACGCTACACTTTCCTTTTCTTCTTTGTCGGCAGCACATACGTACCCTAAGCTTCATCTCAAGTGCATAAAGCAGTTGGCGAAGAATAGATTTGGTAATGACCGAGACAAAAGTATAGGATGAAACTCCAGTTCGGTGGAGGGGGGCACTCCACTGAGCTCTCTGAGAGTGAGGATAAGGATAAGAGTTCTCATGGACACTTAACCGATTCATTCAAAATTACTCCTGATAAGGACCGTGTAGGTGGGAATACTCCTAGTTGCTTTTCCCCCATTCGCGACCTGCTTTGATCCTAAAGAAATGGTCTCACTAAGGTTTAGGCATCCTTTCCTAGGCGCAAGGGTGTAGCAGCTCAGGGTGGACGATCACATGCCATAAATTGCCTAGAAGGTGAGCAGGATTTGCACGATGTTGGGTATACACGGGTCCTCATCAAAAGTGCACTTGAAATGAGCCATTTACCTGTTATATTAGGTCGGTCCATAAGTCTTGCAACAAACTGGCCGAATTTTGAATTTAATATTTTCATTATCTTTTTGTTCCATTCATCCGGCATGCTACCCTCCATCAATATCTACAACCTATTGCCAACACACTAGTAGCTGCTCGA